TAAAAAGAGCCGGAAATCCCATCGCTACCATGAACGGCTTTTATGTCAGGTTGAGACCACACAATATCAGCCTAATGATGTCCATGATTAAAAAATAAAAATGTCAAATAATTGCTGTGAAGGAAGAATCAACTTGTTAGATGAAAAGCGCCTGACTCAGTGACGACTGTCGTGTGGTGTGAGCCCAGGAAAACACTGCTCGCTTAGTTCCAGCATCAGTAACATTTTGGCTGTAGTTTGGTGACTTTATGGAAAAAGATAGATGAAAATAAAATAAACTAAACCAGGGTAAGTCAATCAGGTTTAGCTGGCAGCAGTGAGGTGCCAGGGCCACCCCTCGGCCTCCCAGTAGATACACCCATGGTATAAAAGTTGACCTCTGACCTTGAAGTCAAGGTCACTGGGATTCAAACTCATTCAAGATTTTTAGTACGTTCACCTACGGTATCAACTGAAAATCCTACATCACCTCGTTTGCTTCACAAACATGCTCTGTAAGCCATGTTTAAGAAATATTTAGGACTCATTTACATCCTTCTGATGGTCCTTTGGGTCGTTAGATGTGCGATTTGGCTTTAAATATGTGGCAAACGCCACATCAACACAGATAAAAGACGTGCTAGCTGACGAGGAATTAAAGCGTGCTTCACAGAGCTTTGTGACTGTCGGTATATGAGACCGAAGCCAGGGGAAGCTCGCTCTATGTGACGCGAGTAAACTGTGAATTTGGAAAGATGGTCTTCAAAGACTTTGAGTGTGATTGCATCAGACGATTTACAAAGAAGTTAAAATCTTCACAATCTCATCCCACGAGATCAATGAAACGTTGAACTTTTCCCTGTTTGAGTGGCTGAAGCTGCCTGTATGTGCTGCGTCTTATTCCTGCTGCTGTACCGAGCTTCACGAGAAACTTCTACAGTTTGTAACCACAGAACGGCGTTTATGTGGCCTCATCGTGGTTTTATTCCCGTATAGAACAGACAAAGGAACAGACAAGAAAGAGGAGAGGGACGTGGTGCCTGCACAGCTTTAACTTCACATTACTGAGTGAAGCGGAGGATGAAGGCGGATAGCACCGGGAAATATAGTGAACTGAACGTCATTATCTACATAAGCTTTAGCACGTGCTCATTTGGTTTCACATAAGTACACTACAAGTTTTTATCCTTTTATTCTACAGAAGATTTAACGACAGCCAACAGCTGCTGATGGACCTGAACTGTGTCGGCAACAGAAGTACAATTATTTTACCACCTACATTATCATCCTGGTCCTCGTCGCTGTCGTCGTCACTGACCACCGGCTTGGCCTTCCCTCGGCTCTGCCTCTTCTTGCCTTTGTCGTGGCCGCGCGCCTCCCTGCTCAGCTTGATCTTTACCCGCACCGACTTGGCTGAAACACGGGAGAAACGTGAACACAGCATGTTTGAGAATAAAAACTACGACATCCTGTTTAACCAAACATATTAGGAACGAAACTATTTGTTGAACGTTGAGCTGACGTGGTAGATTTTTATGTTGGAGGCCTGTCAGGGATTAGTGTTGATACTCATGTGGATCCTTCTCTCAATCTTTCAGGTGTCATTGAACATCAGCTGTAGTTCGTGGTTTTAAATGCTTTTTAACATTTCATTCACAATAAATGTCCTCCCTTAATAATGACTCACTCCTATGTCTAAAACATCTTCGTCTGTCAGCAGCAGTGCATCGGCTGCCGCTGGCATGAATATAAAACCCGAGCAGCGTTCGC